AAAAAGTTAATAAAAATTTTCAAACAAATTGACGCAGAAAAATCTCCATGGTAAAATTATAAAAATTTGAAAATTTTTCTTAACTTTTTGGCTGTACCCCTCGCTAAAAATAGAAAATTTTCCCGGTTATTAAGTGTGCTGAATACGAAAAGCCACTTTTCTTTAACTCTAAACAAAGTTTAATTTATTGTCGGTGATATGACAAAAATAATTTACTTTCTGCTGAAGGAAACATTTCGTGTATACACATTTTCAGCAGACAAATTTTTCTGTTCTCAAACTTTAAAGTGATTAAAGTGATTATAGTCAAATACTATTTTCTTTTGTTGTTGTATTATGACTTGCACATTTTTTTGTACGCATTATTTTAAAATGCAAAAAAGGGCCACCGAAAGTTTGTATGTTATAGACATTAAAATCAGTTTGTGCTTAAAAAAAAGGATAAATTCTAGATATAACAGTTTTATTAAAAAGAAAGATGTCGTTGACAGCAAAAGCATTTGCAGTATATGAACCTAATGGTAAATTTCAAGTTTATGATTTGAATCGTCGTCCATTAAGTGCGCATGATGTTGCAATTCGTATTCTATATTGCGGTAAGAGAAATAAAACTAGGCCTAGTTCATTATTAACAAAACTTTTGAAGTAAACACACCTAATATGTTTTTAGGTATCTGTCATACAGATATACATCAGGTGAAAGATGAATGGCATAATGCAAAGTTCCCTATGGTGCCGGGTCATGAAATTACTGGTATAGTTCAACAAGTCGGCAGTGCTGTTAAAGACTTTAAATTAGGAGATCGTGTCGGTGTTGGATGTATGGTAGATAGTTGCCGAGCGTGTCCACCTTGTAAAAGAGATTTGGAAAATCATTGCGTTCAAGGATTTAGTGGAACATATAATTCAACAGAGCAAGACAAAGTAACACCGACATATGGAGGATATGCAAATTTCATTGTAGTTAATGATCATTTTGTTGTTCAAATTCCAAAAGATTTGCCAATGGATAGTGCAGCTCCTCTTTTATGTGCAGGAATTACAACATATTCACCCATGATACAACATAATGTGGGAAAAAACACAAAGGTGGGTGTTGTTGGTCTAGGTATGTATTCGTTTTTCATTGATACCGGAATATTGATCAAAATAAATTTCTTTCGCATTATTTGCAGGTGGGCTTGGTCATATGGCAGTGAAATTTGGCGTTGCTCTCAAAGCCGATGTTACTGTGATAAGCACATCAGAATCAAAAAGAAATGATGCCATGAGATTAGGTAAGGATCTTTTACCTCCTTAGATCTATTCATCGCAAAGTTCTGCAATAGAGATCAACCCCAGACAAAGATGTATCTTTCTGCAATTATGTTTTATACTAAAATAGACTACATCATGAGAAACGGTGATTGAAAGAAAAATATACCCATACCCAGAAGAGTTTCGGGTGAAGATGAAACAGGAGTTAGACGGAAAAAAGAAACGACAGAAATTACGGAAGTGAAACATTAGCATTAAAAAGACCTACATGATGTTATTCCAACAGTTAGACGAAAGTGGCAACAATAGTGATGAAATACATGCACGAAATATATTTTTTTGGGGGAGATTTTTGGGTATTGCTAAAAGACGCGAACACCCACGAACACCTCCAAATTAAAATCTGAGTTAGCCAATCCATAGAGATCGTCGAGCTGAGTATAGCAACGTCTAACGAACACCCAAAAAACTTTTTATAGTTTCGCTTTTTAAGCATACATTTTGAATGAACACCC